CGAGAGCGAGAGCGAGAGAGAGATGTGGGAGAGACACAAGAATAGTACTGAAAGGAAAGAGACATGGTGAGAGAGAGCACATTAATGTCCGCAGTTCAAATGAGGAGAATTGGAATAAGAAAGGGACTTGCCAGCTTTGAAATATGAGCATTTGCAGACACTAGTACCATGTACAAGAACTAAACCAATTCATCTGGCAAATGTTTAATGGAGACTTTAAGGGATGGCAGACATATATATTGATTTAATCACAAACAGTCAATATATGTGTCAATATTTACTAGGAAAAGTCTGCAAATAAAGATATTTGAACTAAAAGACATTATATTATTATGGCATATTTGTAGTTAATTGTGTTATTTTGATTATTATCTCTTTTCATTGAACTCTTCAGGTACTCTTCTTCAAAAAAGGGATCAGGCATCATCTGAAAAGTATCCTCTTCTATAAAATACCTGCATTAAATTGTTTAAACACATTTTTCTATGAAATTACATCACTCTTTACAAGCAATGTAGAATTTGTGAGTATAAATGTAATGTAGGATTTGGCTCAGACACGTCTTGCACTGACCTGTTTTCAGCATTGGTGAGGTTTCCAGTACACTCATTGACCTCCAGGGGGCACTCACATGGACACTCACATTCATTCTGTTCCATTCTGAAAAACAACAGTCACATGTTCATCAGTTTACTGTAATAGCATACCATGATCTCCATTTAATTAGTATTTTCATCTGGTAATAATATTATGATTGCAAATACAATTCACATGATCAATAATTACTCTCCTGCAGCATTGTACTCTAGATCTGGATCTGTTAGTATCACAGAGTTTACCCTCTTTACAACAAAGTGATTGAAAGGTAAAACAGTGAATCCCTCATGAGAGTGGGAGTGAAGGAGAGACCTGTGGCAGTTGAGACAGAGTCGGTCCACAGTGCTGCAGGCGCAGAACGCCAGAGAGTCACACGTCTCGTTGACGATACCAGCAAAGGCGTTGGTGCCAGGGATCCGGGTCAGACGGTACTTAGAACAATGGCTACCATGGACCAGGTTGGTTAGGTCCCCCTAAGTGAGAGACATATCATCAATATATAGTCCACACAGGGTAATAATAAATTCTACCAAAACATCAGTAAAGAGACATTTAGACACACTTTAATTTGTAATAATCTTTCTGCTCCTTATTAATCTATTTAAAAGCTGACCTTCAACTTGGCTTATACACTGTCAGACTAACTGCACAAAAACACAGTGCACTTCTATTAGAATTAAAATATATAGGAAGAATTCAAGGTTGCAACACCAAGGATGACCACAAAGTGGCAGTGTTATACTATCACATATTGCTCATAATGGCCTTCAGTAGTCTATTTGTATTCAACTGCTG